GGCGGTTTTGGGGGGCAGCTTTCAGTTGTGAGGCTGGTTTTGGGCGATGCCAAAGCGGTAAGCTGGTCTCTCCATTGCCAGGATGCTCTCCAACCCCCTACGACTACCCCACGCCAGAGTCTTCCAGCCGCAGCTCTGCCACTGACGACTTCTGCTACGTCTTCGTGGTGGAGCTGGAGAGAGGACCCATCGGGCTGGGGATGGGGCTGATCGACGGCTTGGTGAGTTCCCAAGGGCTGATGTCCCTCCAGATAACTGGGGTGGGATACATGGGATGTGTTTTATACCCCAGGAAAAGCCAGCAAAGAAGCTAATGGCTTCTAATGGGGAAACTGAGGCACAGAGCGATCTCTAAGGAGGAGCAGATCTCTGCTCCTGGGTCGCTGTGCCGTGCATGCTAAGTCCCTCACAGCTGTCCTGCAGCTGGAGAGAGCAAACAGCACTCCTGTGGAAAGAAAATGACTCAGGCAAGGCCTTTCCTCCACCCTTCAGGAGGTGGTGAGGGATGCAGAGGGGAGCAGGGTGCCAGAGCAGCTCCGCCATCAACCGCACTCGCAGCTCTCACATAAGGCGGGTTACAACCTGGCTCAGCGTGGTGGATCATCTTACTAAGTGGCCTTTCATGGCAGGACATTAGTCAGTAGGAAACAGGGCATCACTGAGCCCCTGGGACAGCCCTGAGCAAGCAGCTCCCATCCCAAGATGGCTGCAGGTTAACGATGCTTTACTCTTAATTAAATTGAACATGAAAAGATTGCCCTCACCTCTTCCTTCTGTGTATAAATTGATATAAAAGTGCAGGTTTGCATTTCCTTCCTGGCACTGTTAGTGACACTGTCCCCAGTGCCTCCAGGGTCTCACCTGGCATCAGGCTGTGACCGTGGGGTCACACTGCCTGGGGAGCTCAGCCCTTTTGGGACCGCTCACCTTTCATGTCCCCTCTGCCCTGGCTGGTCGCTCACTGCCTTTCCCTGTCAACAGCACACTCCTCTCTGCTCCCCGGGGATCTACATCCGCACCCTGATCGAGGACAGCCCCGCGGCTGCCGACGGCAGACTCTCCATCGGGGACCGCATCCTGGCTGTCAATGGCACCAGTCTCATTGGGGCAGACTACCAAAGGTGAGTCGCACCTTGCTGGAGGGCCCGATCTGGTCTTGGCACCTTGGGAGTTAATGCTCAAGTCCAGGTTCTCAGCCATCCGTGACCTGGCAGGTTGCTGTGGGGAGCCAGAATTCACCTCTCTCCCTGTTGCCGCTCTCTGCAGTGCGGTGGACCTCATCCGCTCCGGAGGGAAGAAGCTGCGGTTTCTGGTTGCCAAGTCGGACATGGAAATAGCCAAAAAAATCAGTTCCAGCCTCTCTTCCTCCTAGTCCTTGTGGTACAAGGGTCCTTCTGCAGCAGCTTGTGGATGCAGCTCTGGTTAAGGCTGCCCTCAGGGAGCCTGGAGTGCAAGAGGGAGAACCAGGACTCCGCAACTGCCCTCGATTTGCTTTTCAACACCTTGCCTCTGCGCTGCAGCGGATGAAAGGACACACAAGGGTAGTGCATGCTTCTCCCACTGCACTGGCTGGGACCATCATTCGGGATTCATTGCCTGACCTCGCCTCATACCCCGTGTTGTCCCTTCACAGGAGCTGTCCTGGTCCTTCGTCCCCGCTGGCAGGGGGCAGGAAGGGGGTGCTGCCCCATGGGGGCTGTGAGCAGGCTCCTCCTTCCCTCTAGGCTGACGGCCCTGTGTGGTAGCTCACGCTGGCAGGAAGAAGACTTGAAACACCTTTGGGATTCAAAGATCAGCACACGGGGCAGGCCTGCGGCAGTGTGGTGCTGGCACATCAGGATGGAAAAGGGTGCGCAGCTCTGGGGGTGGTAAAGGCAGCACAAGCACCAGGAGCCGAATCTGAAGCAGGATGTTGTGTTAGGAGTTAAGGTCCCTGGTGCCATACCCTCAGTCAGGTGCCTTTCTGCTGCTGGGCTGCAATCACGCTGCCCCCAGACCTGCTTTGGGATGGGGAGCAGCTCCAGCAAAGGGCTGACACCACCAGCACTTCCTGTGAGTCCTGGGCGAGCCCCTTGAAGATAAGGACTCCCTAGCCCAGACAAGTGACATCTTGGCACCGTGTCCTGCTCCTCTCCCTCCAGCCTTGCCAGGCCATTGTAAGGCTGCCCTGCTTCCTGCCCAGCTCAGAGCATCTCAGAAGTGCATGCTGGTGATGTGCTGATGTGTGATGACGGGCAGCAAAGGCTCCCTTTGGAAAATCGGTCTTGAATGTCCCAGAAACAGCTCTGCTATCTGCTGCCAACAGCAACGGCGCCAGCAGAGCCGAGGCGGCAGCTCCACCATGCGGCTGGCCAGTCCCCTGCCTGCCACGTCCTCCCCATGCTTTTAGTGACATTAACAGGATAAACCCGACCTGGTTTCCACATATAGACAGATAGCAAGACCTAGTTTAGGCGAACCCTATTAGAACAGCCTCCTGCAAAGCCCTGAATCACACCCTGCACTTAAACCAGCATGGTCTAGGCTCTGGCAGCAAATCAGATGTTCACATGGCATCTCACAACAGCGCTCTGAGGATTGGGATGCTAAAAAAGGGATGCTTAACAGGGTTGGCCTTAATTAAACCTCAGATACTTCACTACTGTAGTTTTGGTTCCTGTGCTTGGTCGTACAAGCAGGAGAGAGATGTCAAAATAATCCATGCAGGGGAAAACACTCCACTACTGATTTCAGTGCAGCCTGGCCTGCCTTGTCTAGGGCAAGACAGACCTTCACTGGGACACCAGTGCCTTGCTTCTCTGCTAGGCCATGCTCACGCCAACGAGCCTGGGGTGCTGCCTCACCAGGGGCTGCAACAACGCATCCCTTCTGCCACTGACTCAGCTGTACCGGGCAGGCGAGCAAAGGCTCAGGGCCCCACAGGGCTCCTGGTGATTCACTCGACTTTGAATTAAGGTATGGTGGCCTGGCATCCTCCACAAAGCAGGTTTGTAGGGCAGGAAATGGGAAACAGAGCCCCTAAGCGAATTGCATGCAACAACTTACTCCCCTCTGCCTGGGAGCCAGGGCTCGGGGGAAGCTTGGTTTGCACCAGGCAGTATTGGGGCTGCACTCTGGCCAGTTCCAGTGGTACCAGCACAACCCCCCCTGAGCCTGACCCTCCAGGCACCCCTGGAGCTGGGAAACAGCCCCAGAGCTGTGTGTTGCTCACAGCACAGCCAGGTATTGACAGACTGTAAATAAACCTGGCTATTTCCTAGTGTGCATGAGGAATTGCTTCTCCTGGGAGGAGCAGTGGGATGTATTTACTTCCCCCATTTGTTAATACTGTACAGCTCCAATGTGTATAAACTTCTCACGCAGATACAGAACACAGCATGGCGCCTGTTTGACACGGGGCTGATGTATGTTAAGAAATGCTCTTGGTGTCAACAATAAACTGGATCAATAAATCTCTCTAAGCTCCCATCTGGCAGCTGTCTCTTGGATCTCAACATGTTCACTCTGATGGGAAGAGAGAAGAGCAGTGAGGGCTCACAGCAGACTTAATGGAGTCACTTCTGCTTTCTCCACCTCACACAGGCCTTTGCTTGGCTGATTTGCTGCAAGCAGAGGCAATAAAAGCAGCACAGGCATAGATAGTCTGGGTGTACTGAGGGCAAAGGGGAAGGAGAGACAAGGCAGAGGAAGGGAGGGAAGAAGTGGTATGTCTGAACGGGGCACAGTGTGCTGGCTGGGTATTAATGCATGCACTCACCTTCCTGCCCATTCACACAAATCCACTGGGATTTTCAATGCATACTGGCCAGGGAGAGATAAGACAAGCTTAGGAGATAGAAAAGCAACAGGCACTAGGAGACAGAAATACAAACAGCCTCAGACCAGAAGAGCTGCCTCAGCTCATCTTATTCCTGTTTTCCGTTTCATTCACAACCATTTGTTCCTCATTTCCAGTTCAGAGCAGGGTCTCAGCCGTAAGCGTCAGCAGCATCTGATGAGTTACAGCAGAGCCTGGAGCCTTTCAGAAACCTCACGTCCTCACCCTGGCATGAACCCAGGAGCTGGCTCCAGGAGCCGGGTGACTATCCTCAAGGCAAAAGGGAGGGAGGCATTCACCTCTCTCTGAAACCGTGTGCTGGCCACGTCTACAGGCGGCGTGGACACAAACTGAGCCACGTTTGGCATTTTCAGTAGGTTCATGAGCTCAGTTGCCCGGATCAGGATCTCCTCAAGGTCCTCCTCACAGTAAACAGAGGTGACAGCAGGGTTCTGCACAAATGTCCTCATCTTGGACAGGAACATGGACACTCTGCAGGAGAGAAGGACATGGACATCAGCTGGCAGGGCCTCTGCACACAGCAAAGTCAGTATTTAAGCCTGTGTACTCCAAAAGACCCTGTTGTAAATGAACACCAGATGTTACCCACCCCCTCCTCCTGATGCAGAGAGCAGACAAATCCCACTTCCCCAAACTGTGCACCTCCACTGCTCGTTTCCTCTGTACAGTTTCAGGTTCTAGTCAGTTGCCAAGCTTGATTATTTAACACTAGCAAACATCTGTGTTTGGAGCCATGGGACCTGCATGTTTCAGCCCTTTGCCTTTCCCCGCCACCACTCCTTACCTGGGGATCAAGTCCTGGCTGCGGGTGGCCAACTTGGTCAAGGTGGCCATAAGGACACTGATGGCACGGGGTGCATAGCTGGGGGTGCTGGCCAGAGGTCGGAGCTGGGTGATTTCAAATAGCACGGTCTCTAGAGCCTCAAAGAACCGGTTGATCTGCTCCACAGTGCAGCGCTTGTCATAGGACACAGACATGTACTCTCCAACAGCCCAGACCTGAAGCAAAGGCAGATGTGTTCAGGGCAAGCAGAAAGGAAGGAGATCAAATAATTTTTAGGGAATAGCAAATCTGATTAGCTAATGCTAGGACAGAGGAGAGAAGGAAAGGGAAGGTGATCAATAGATTGCACCACAGATGGAGCAACCTGGGGCAGAAGCAGGCAAACGCTGCTTACCATGTGGGTGAAAATGGCCTCCTTGTTCTGGATGTTGCTGACTGTTCCCAAGAAGTCCAGAATCTCCGTGGGCAGTTCCACGATGAGCGCAGGGTGCAGCTTGCAGAGCATCACCAGCTGTGAGCTCAGCACTCTGGACGAGAGAGATGGGCAGAGCTCAGACCACGGGCAAGGTGATCATCACCAAACCAAGGAGGTGTGGGCAGCAGCACCCAGCCATTGGCACAGCAAGGTGTTTTTATCAGGGCTGAAGGTGCAGCTCCCATTTTGCACCCTCCAAAGCTGAGTCACAGAAGGGACTGGGCCACAGCTGAACAGACTCCTGAGCTGCCCTGGGATGCCAGGCTGCAGCCAGCAGAAGCTCTGGGAGTTTGGTTGGGCCTCCTGTCCCATCTCACCTGTACACGTCATCTTTAAATGCTGGGATCTCATAGAGCTGGTCGCTCCTCTGCAGCAGCAGCACCACCAGCTGGTTCATCAGCGGCCCATCTGCAAACTGAAAATCAGCACTTCCCTCAGCAACACCAAGTGACTTCCAGCAGCCAAAACCCAAACTAATCGGCCAGAGAGGACTAGGCTGGCACAGAAACAGTCTGACCCAGCAGTGGGAGAGCAGTGCACAAAGCAGGTACCAGGCACTCATTCTACTCTTGCCTACCTCTTTTGTAGCTGGCTGAGAACAGTGTGAAAATTGACACTGCACCACAGAGCTTTTCTGCTTCTCCAGATGAAGTAGCCAGCTCAGTACTAGACCGTCCTGCCTTCCCTTCATGCACCCCTCTGTTGAAACTGCAGTGTCTTAACATTTTTGCTTCTACAACTGCTCTTCAAATAACAGGAGATCCCCACAGCACGACTGAGAGCCAAACTCCCCCAATAGGACCTACCTCTGCCACCACTCTGAAAAAGAGCTCCAGTAAGACAGGGACAGTCTCCGCACATTGCACGACCCTTGGGCTGCTGGCCAGGGATCCCAGCAGCTGCCGAAGTGGAATCAGCCTGTGGGCAACAAAAAAAGTTACTATTGAAGGCTTGTTCCCAACTCCTCTCCTGGCTGCTCTTCCCTATTCTCCGCACAAGGCCTCTGAGTGCTCAACAAAGCTAACACAGGGAACATCCAATCCACCTCACTCCAGCTGAGAGCAGCTATGTCTTTCCCAGCAATGCCAGTGCTGCCTCCCAGTGCTGGATGGCTGGACCAAACTGCTGTGGCAGTTTGCTGCAGCAACTTCCTACCTCTCTGGGGCATCCTCAGGGGTAGACTTGGTGCGGAGGAGATACTGGAACATGCTCTTGTAGAGGGGATGGTGAAAGGCTTCCAGACAGGTGGCCGGCTTCACAGCTGGGTTGCTGGCAGCCCTCTCGGAGGTAGGAAGAGCAGTTGACCTAGCAGAGGCACACATTGTATGTGCTGCATTATAAGAATGGGCCAGGGCATAGCTGGAGTCCTGAACAACAGAATAACTCCCTTTCCACTGAAACAGGGACAGCAAGTTGGTGTAATCCAGGCCCTCTGGAAGCCAGAGGACCAGGATGACAGAAATGATGAGCTCAGATCCCCTGGTCTCAGGCAACAGTGCCAGAATTGCTTCTGTATCACTTCTAGGAAAGGGGAAAATGGCTCTCTGTAACCCTCCATCACTGAAGCCCACCAACATCAATTTAGACCAGATGTTAGGAAGAAATTCTTTACTCTGAGGGTGGTGAGACACTGGCACAGGTTGCCCAGGGAAGTTGTGGACGCCCTGGAAGTGTTCAAGGCCAGGTTGGATGGGGCTTTGAGCAGCCTGGGCTGGTGGAGGTGTCCCTGCTCATGGCAGGGGTTGGACTGGGGGAGCTTTAAGATCCCTTCCAACCCAAACCATTCTATGATTCTATGATCCTGTAACTCCCTTTTCTAAGCACTCCAAAAAAAGCTGCTTATGTCAGGGAAGACAAGGAAGAGCAGAGATACAGCAGTGAGAGGCAGTCCCAGTCCTATCCCATATTCCTGGAGACTCACAGTTTCCAGTGACCTCAGGAAGGAACTTCTGTATGACTCCAGGAGAAAAAAGCCAGAAAAGAAGGGTCAGAGCAGGGACAGAAAACCAGGTAGCCCACACCTCTGTGTTGAGGTGGTGTCTCATGGCAGACACCTCAGCATGTGGCAAGTTTGGAGCTGGATATAGAGAGGGGAACCGTAACAGCAACCTGAGCCCCAAAGACAGTTCAGTACTGCACTGTCACCTTCTCTTCCTATGCACAGCACATTAGTAGGAAAACTGGGCTGACATGTGCAGCTTTGTGTTAACCTGACTGTAGCAGATGCCTCTCACTGTATGACAGCAGCAGCCAGAGGGCAGCTGGCGCTCAGAGAAGCATATAGTAGGCTATGGTCACTGTCAAGACCCTGATTAGCAAGAGAAAGTAGTGTTACCTCAGCTGGATATCCAGAGCTGCTGTCAAACAGGGCAAGTCGAGCAGCAAATGGAAAATCTCAATGGCTGTGCTTGTATCCAGCAGAAATGGGAGAAGGTCCACAAACTCAGAGATAAGGGGTGGGCTGTTCCATGCCAGGAACTGCAAGGAACAAGCACAAACTGCTGCACTATCCCTGCTACTCCACCACATCCAGATGATTCTCACACTGTGACCAAAAGGGACGGGGAAGGGAAAGTCACTTATGAAAAGCAAAATCAGAGGAGTCTGAGGGTTTAGGCAAAACCTGGGAGGCTGCTGGCAGCTGAACACAGGCATCTGGCAGCTGGTTCAGTGGTTGCCAAGCTGCAACTTACTAAGTTTTTCCAGAAACAAAGTGCTGTGTTCACTGCACTTCCCAACCCACTGGCAGTAATGCTAATGCAGACTCTCCCCTACCAGCAGTGCTAATCACACCCAGAACCCTCTTCAAACACACCTGCTTTTTAACAGTCCTTCTTGCCCATCCTTCTTGCCTATGCTGTCCCTAGCACTGCCATGGAAGGATATGGAGGGCTCTGGGGTGCACTGAAAGGCAAACAGAAGGTTCTGCGGCACAGAAAGGGATGTGCTGCAGGCTCTCTCCTGTGCTGCTCCAGCAAGCTGTACCTTGAAGAGATTTGGGAAGCTCTGCCTGAATATGCTGGAGGTCTCAGTGAAGAGCTGGGTGTTGTCTTTGCAGAACTGGACAAATTCAAAGGCCAGGGATGGGTTGTGGAAGAGCTGAGCCGGGATATCAGTGAATAAATGTTTGTAGATTGCATCGGAGTCCACAGCTGCCATTTTGCCTGGGAGGACACAGCACATTGCTGAACACAGCCCACCCAGCAGCCCTGCCAACAGGGACTCCAGGGGCTAAGCTAAATCTGGGTTATATTTTTCTAAAGAGCACAGGACAGCCCAGCTCCTGGGTGCCCTGAAGTGGGATCACTCATCCCAGAGTACAGCCAATGCTGAACTACCAATGTCAGGACAAAAGGCTGTGCTGACAGTATGGAGACCACAGAGGAGGGGGTGACAGCTGATGACTTACCATGGTGCAGGAAGAACTGGGCAATGGGCAGCAGTGCCCTGGCATAAGTGGCATCCCCACTGATTCTGCTGTGCAGGATCTTCAGGAAGGAAGCTGCGCGGTGAACGTAGGAGGACTCCTGTTTGCAGATGATGTCCATGATTGTCACCGCCTCAGTGAGACACTGCAGGAGAACAGAGAGTCAGATTAGAGTGAGGGAAGCCACAGGTCCCAGAGCTTCAGCCCCACCTCTGTGTACTTACAGCTTTCTGCAGGTCTCCATCATCTTTCCTCAGGGGTCCTGCCAGAGAAAGAAGCCCAAGTTAAACTTTGAGGCAGTGAACCAGAAACATTTTCAAGAATGCTACCAAGGGGGGTTCAAGGCAAGACTCACGCCGGTTGCTCTGCTCAATAAGCCGCTGGCAGTACTCAAAGGCTTTCTCCCGCAGACGGTCCTTTGGGGGAAGCTGGCGACTAGATCTGGATGTAGTTGAGATCATGGACATAACGGACCTGCTCATTCCTGATTTGCCATCTACAGAATAAAAGTTATCACGTATCAGCTCACATCATGGGCAGCGTCACTCACACAGCCGCCCAGCAACAGCAAGGGAGCTGTCTGTTGGGAAGAAGGGAGTGTTACAAAACACTAAGGAGATGCTGTCTCCCACCACCAGGCCTTTTTCTCAGGGATCCACAGGGCTTTGCCTGAAACCAGAGGACCCACTGAATGAATAATTCCTCATGGAAGGGCCAGTAAGGATCAGTCAGGAGGTTTTGTGATATTCCTCCCTGAAGTTTCCCTGCTTCTATCTAGTTCAAGAGCTCTGAACTCTTGCCCATATTCTTGCCACTTGCTAGGTTGCTGATGCAGTCACCTAATCTTCTCAGAACACACACTCCTCTTGGGGGTACAACCCACACTGGCCTGCAGCCCTTCAGATCATACCTGGGGTCTTCAAGCCCTTGCCCCCGTAGCACAGCAGCCAATTTCGCAGCATGGAGAAGGCTTGCACGTTGAGCCACTGGTCCTGTGTGTAGTACTGAGCCACCGAGAGCACTGTGAAGAAGTCTGTGGAAATGGCACCATCCATCTCTGTGACAGGACTGGGCTGTGAGAAAAGATGCAGCAGGTCAGATCCCCAGGGAGAGGCTACGTGAGAAGGCAAGGAAAACTCCTGAGCTCATGCAGACAAGTAGCCCTCATTTATATGTACTATGGGGCCTGCAGGGGGGCAGTTATCCAGAGAGAGAAAGGTCTACTGTGTCGGATCCTATTCCTCACCTGAAGCACTCCAAACTTTCCTCCTCTCTGACACAGGCCTCATTTGCAATCAGCTTTTACTCCAAGGTACATAGTCACTAAAAGACTCTCCCCTCAAAACTACTTCAAGGATTAAAGCTCTGGTTTTACAGCAGAACTTCTAAATCTTGGAGCTGTAACCCTCCTGCTTTGCTTTCCTATGTGTCTTGATCACATACCCAAAGAACAGCAGCCCTTTAGGTCACCACTTCCCAAAAAAAGCTGATTCTGGGAATGTGAAACAGCAGGCACTGACTGAAAAATGCCCCTGTGAGAAGACTATGGCAACTCAGCACTCACCTGTTTGGTCCTGGGACTGGAGAAGAAGCCTCCAGAGGGTTGAGCAACTCCTTGCTGCACACTTGCATACCTCAGCCAGTCAGTCATCTTTTTACTGACCACATTGGTCTGCTCTGTACAAGGAAATCACAGAGTCAATGCTCGACCAGGCAGAGAAGCAGCCTCTGCGACACAGCCCTGCTATCCCTCAGTTGCTGCACTTTTCCTCCAGCCTAGAAAACTGTGTGTCTGATCCAGCAGTCAGCAAAGAAATGGGTACCCCAAAGCGGTACTGCCCTGTCCTCCTCACACTACTTCAGTTCATCCACTTCTGTCTCTTGCTTTGCTTGATGCTCTTCAGGACAGCTACAATTTCACACTCCGACTGCATCTGGAGACCTTAGCTAGGGTACACGCTACTGTGATACAAATCCATACAGTACTGAGACTCTGGCCCCCAGAAAGGCCCAAGGCAGCTGAAGGCCCAGTCCCATTTTTGAGTGGTGGAATGTATCTTGCCAATAAGTTCACTTTCCCTGTGGCAGAGATATCACTTTTAACAGCAGTTTCCAAGCCCTACTCCTAGCCAGAGCCTTCTGATCACTATAGAGCTCACAGCCAAATGATAACCTCAGGCCCTCCTATATATTTACCTTCAGTTAGAGATTCTGGTGAAAGACTGATGACATTTGACAAGACAGGAAGAAGGTACCGAGCACTCTGACCCTCAGGCAGCTTTCCTCCAAGTACTTCTACAATACGCTGCCCCACAGCAGAAACTTCAGCCTTCTTATTTCCCTTAAAAATAAAGCACAAGTAAGGCTAGGCAGATAATCTTCTACTAGTGCTAGAGACCGATACCATATAAACTCTTTTATCAGGCATCAATATCAAAGATAAAAAGAACCCACACCACAGGGTATTTTACCACATTTTACAGAGAAAATCTGTGAATCCCAGGAGGGGAGAGTCCTTTGATGGAATGATATGCCTTTAAAAGCATATTTTGCTTTGATGGTCATCCATAAACCTGTGATGTCCACAGGTTTGTGGACAACCATCACCTAAAGTAGAAATTAACAACTGCAGTGGATGCCTTCAAATTAAACACTACAATCCACCAATTCTAGAGCAGAGAGTGCCAGCACTGACTACCCCCATGTGGTCAGTTTGCTAACTCAATTGTTAAATTTGAAATTTATGAACAGAAAATGGACTGCTTTAATATGTTCTAGGAATCTCTGGTTAGTCCATATCTTCACAATGTGGAAAACAAAGCAGCTTCCTCTTTCGGAGGCTGTTATAGCAGTGGCTGTCAAACCTTTCTGTCCAAGACAACTTTGTTAAAGATGACAGCTGAACCCAGACTTTTGATAGGTTTTCTTTCCCTGTGAATGTCATCATGCCAATAAAAAGTGGAGCCTCTCTGCTGCTCAGGGTTTTGGACAGGTGGCTGCTGAAGGCAGTGAACAAACACTGATCTCTGGCACTCCCTATCTAATATTCAGTTTTGTATCAGGTCATTCGAAGCAATTAGGAAACTAAAGTTGAGGTTCCAGTGAGGAATTTCACATGGGAACCTCACCCATGATGGGGGCTACTTTCAGCAGTTCTCTCGTGAAGAGATGAGGATAAATTAACCAAAGCAACATACAGACAAAGATGTTGAAGGTTCTGGGACCTGTGAAGTAAAGGAAAATGGAAGAGACAACCCTGCTTCTGCCACAGACACACTGCTGTAGCTCACTGCAAATGATGGGGCTGCTTATGTGTGTTGCTGACACGTTCCTTGTTGCTTAGAGGAAAACCTGACTGAACTCAAACCAACTGAAAGTTTCCAGCTCCTAATGCAACACCAGAGGTTGTGTTTTCTCAAAAGTCAAAAGCTTTACAAAAAGAACATCGGCTTTGCAGAGCACAGGGGGGCAAAGAGAAGGCAGATGATTTCCACCCAAAGCGGTGACAAATGAAAATATGCTTTTAAAGGTTCTGCTGAAGTGTGGCTTCATGAGTGAGGCTGCTGCTCTCTGTACCACACTGAAATGGCTAAAATATGACAAGTTTTAGTAACATCAAAAAGTGATGAAAATATCTTCATGGTTTTAGTTGTAATCTAACAAAAATTAACACATAGGGTATGTTTTTGCACTGTAGAACTACAAGACAGTCTCAAGGCTGGATATGGGAGAGAGGCGCTTTGTGAGGAAGCACATAAGTAATACATCACTGTGTTCTGCTTCTCTGTTTTCATTTCCTCTAGCTAAGTAAGACTCAGAGGAGTAATCAGAAGTGCATGAGGCATTTCTGAGCGCACAGTGCAACTCAGAATAAGAAGTTTCAGAAGGGTTCAGGAAGATATTTTATCTTTAATAGGCACAATAACAGTAAAGGAAGTAGAAACGAAAGAAAGTTTCCAGCTTATTCTCCAGAGAGCAGTCAATGCAGGCTGCACGCAAAACAGGAAAGTCCTCATGTTTTCTTCTCCATGGAGAATCTAGATTTTTGAAATGCCATCTACATTTATAGCCCTATGTGTTTTATAGGTTCTATGTATATTTTTCTACACTTGAACATGAAAGCCAGCACCATAAAAAGCAGTAGTAATAAATTAGTCAAATCTTTTACTCTACAGGTTCAAGCAGCTCTGTGTTGAAGTCTCTTACAGCAGCTCACACTAAAATGTTGGTTTTGCTTCCAGATAGTTACAAGCTTGCTTCAGGTCCTCAGTCTCTACACCACACAATTTTTAATCAGTCTTTGTCATCAAGTACTAAACACAAAAAAGTTACTGATTTTTCTTACACAAAGCAGAACAATTAGGTTCCTTAAACAAACATGGAAATGTTTCTGCTTTTTTCCTAGATACTTTCACGTGATTCTCATTCTCCTTGAGCTCACCAAACAGAGAACAACCAGAAAGCAAATCTACATCAACAAGGGAAGTTTTCTGACTTGACAAGTCACTTACCTGAGCCAAAAGGACAGAGGATACCAGGCTCAAGAGCTTTGTATCTTGAATCTCACGGCAGGAGAGGATCAGGTCCTTGCAAGGCGACATCTCTCTCAGGATGGCAGCACACAACATCTGAACCTGCTCAGGGCACTTGGATGAACACAGCACTGTCTGCAACAGCTCCACAAACTTGCCATCTAGCCTGCAAGAGTCACAGTACAGCATCACTGCAAGGCAAGAAGCAATTCAGGGATTTATTTCCTGCATTTTCTTGGTCTTGGGATGATCTCCCTTGGACAGCAACCCTGACTAACGCTATTTTATCATCTTCACTTCTGAATGTGGTTCTTTAGCGCAGCTCAAAGAGCGCTGAGTGACACAAACGCTTGTTATCCTTGCTGCAAAAGGAAGCAGGCACCTTCTGCTTAGCAATGAGGAGAAAAAGGCAAAGAGGGGCTTTACATTTATATAAAACTCAGTGTTTTCAAAACAGGGCGGTTTTTAAAAGCACTAAGCTACCCCTCAACCCCCCCTCTTTTTGGTTGTTGTTTTGTTTTGGGGTTTTTTTTTCAAGAAAGTAACGCTTTGCTTCTTGTAAACATCAGGGAGACACAAGGCCACTCACTTGCGGGGGTACTTGGTGGCGGCGACGGTGAGGTGCAGCCTCTGGAGGCAGTCCACGGCCTCGGGGCCTGGCTCCGGGCCCTGCAGGAGGGCGGCGACGCGGGACGCGAATCTCCGCAGCTCCTCCTCCTGGATCTCCCT